TCACTGACCCCCGGTGGTCCTCCTGGTACAACAGACGGTGAATGGGTTCCGCTTACAATATCTTCAACCTGAGCCGTCTCAGTCTCTGACGCGCACACGGACGGGCAGCAGCACAGGGCAAGCACCAACAGGGCGCACAGCAGACGGCACGTCATCATCATCGTGAGTGTGGTCGTTCAGTGGTGTGGAGCTGATCTGCACAGTGAGGGACATGGAGAGCAACAGGGGAGACGAGAGGTGCGGCAGACACACACAGAGGGCACACCGCATGAGGAGAGGGCAGCAGCCAGGCATGCACCGTACGCCGCACACCACGCACGACACACACTCCAATCCACGGCAACAGGCACACACCCACACAGCCCTGCCGCAACAACAACACACAGATGGAAAAGGGAGAAGCAAACATGAGTGACACACAAGGCTCCACCGCATGCACATACGGCGAGAGCGGTCCGTCATATCTGCACCCCTCACGGAGGGTACACACACACACACAAGAAGGTGCAGCGCACACAGCAACAAAAAAGCAAAGTAACAATAAAAAAAGGAGATCCCCGCACACCACGTGGATTGTTGGTCCACGGGAAGCGCAGCCAATATTCATCACAAAAACAACTCAGTTGGCTTTTGGCCTTCGTTCATACTCAGCGCACACCACTTCATGCAGGCCCGGCCATCACAGCAGCAGCAGCCGCACACGCAAAAATAAGCGCAGGGAATGGAATAAAGCAAGCAACCATTTATTTGTGTTTCTCTTTCAGTGTTGGCAGCCATCCGCATATGTTGTTTTGTTTTGCGGAGGGCAAACCTTCATGCCTGGGTCGTGTGTTGGGGATATCTGGAGGGAGCACAATTATTGTTGTTTTTTCCTCTTGTAAATTTTTCCTGTGTTGGTGCAGCCAAGAATTCATTTTCTGTTGCTCCTGCCTTTCGCTGGTAAAGTGTTGCAATAGATGTTTGCTTTTCCTTCCGTTGCTGTGGCACCTGATTCCTCACCGTTTATTGCGGTGGAAATAAAAATATGTGAATGGACTCCCACACACCAGAACGCACGTTCGCTCCTATTTATTGGTGCATGGAAGGGCATGTGTGTGTTTGGTGGTGTCTCGTCCATATATTTTGTGGGTGCACATTCTCCTGCAGGCTGAGGGCGGGATGACGCTCTGTCGCGGTGCACTTCCCTCGCATGCCGCCCGCTGTGATTCATCATGCATCACCCCCTCACATATTCCGTGGTGCCACACCGCTGATATTATTGCGGCCGCTGTGATTCCGCGTATTTCGCGCATTTGATTGTGCCACAATACACCCACTCGTGTGGCCGCCGCATCCAAACAGCGGTGCCCAACACCGTGAGCGGCAATCCACATCCTTGCATGTCCCAACGCAGTGGTGTCTGACTGTCATCCAGGCGTCAGACAACAAGAGAGTCTTGTGCTGGCAGTACAACACACGGAGCCGCAGTGAATGGCTCGGGCGGAGACGCATCCATTTGTCGCAAAGCAGTGAAAAGGAGTCGGTCAAAAATAATGCCGGCTGCACTCACGACACCATATCCACAGCCAAAGCTTGCGACGTGATGTGTGCTTCACTGGTGCTGTGAAATGCCTGCAGACGACGTCACTAGTGGAGGCACAGGACCCATGATCAGTGGACAGACAATAATCGGCATGGGAGGCCACAAAAGACAGCAACGACGCCAGCAGCAGGAGAAGCTCCCTCTCGCTCTCTTTGTTGCATCTGAGAAGCAAATATTCCACCAGCTAAAGCTGGCTGTGCCATCGTGACACTCCATGCACGTCGTGGCTGCGTCAACACATCCTGTTCCCTGCAGCGCCTCACTCCGTCCACCAAGTGCATCGGTGTGTGCCGTGCCTCGGCTTTTCGTGAGGACCACAACGATGTGAGGGTCACCGAGTCGCAGCATGTTTGTTGTGACGTTGTTGCATGGCACCTGCACACACACACACGCAGCGTCTGCATCCCTCCCTGTTGTGTTCGCCCTCTGCCGGAGTGGCCACACACACGGGCAGCAGCAAAATCACTTCACCCTCGACGACCCAAAATCAACACCGACATCCCTCGCGACGCAAATATCTCAGTTGCCAGCACGGGCTTCCTGTCGCTCTGCCATCGACGCTGAAACACGGCACAGTGCACGCACTTATTTTCCTCGTGTGCACTCAGCCGTTTGGTCCACAAATTCCTCGATGGGCTGACGTCCATAAAAGCACGCCACAAAGACCACTGTGATCACACAAGCTCTTGCGATGAGCGTCTGTGTGTGCATGGATCCGCTGCTCACACGTGCTGGCAGGCAGCCTGCAGCCGGTGCCCTCGTGCCAGTTCATCGGCTCCACCACGGAAAAAAGAAAACGGCCTATTCCCGATGCACTTATTCCCACCAGCAGCACCAACACGCTGGTCGCCAGCCGTCATTCCTCAGCACATCCAGGAATGCTGAAAAGTGACGTGGAACCGTCAGCCAGCAATGCCAAAATCCCCGCACACATGTCGGCTCCACCAAATAAGACACACAAATCACAAACAACACCCCTCACATGTTTTCCGAACATCATTCCGAAACACCGCAACACGCCAAACAGAAGTATTTGTCACTCCAATGCACCTCCTCACGCAATCACATAGTCCATGCACCACGCACGGCAGCAGTTCACACGCGGTCAAACAAGTGATCCTCGGGTCAGTGCTATCCACGTGCTGCAGTGGGAAGTAAACAAAAGAGAAGAGCCGCCAAACCCCAAAAGAGTGCCACGACTGGCCGCAAGTCAACGAAACGCAGCCACTCAAATGAATTCAGTCCTAATGCCATCAACCTCCCACCTTCCCCACAAAAGCTGCAAAAGATTGAAACGCACCGTCCAACAAATTCTTTGTGCAACAATAAAGGAAGCCGCGGTGCTCCCTGCTGTCAAAGTCCGTTGATGACGCCTTCATGGGGACGGGCACCCATCGGTTCTTACAAACGACGCTGCACACCCGCGACGCATCGTGAGCTCTGAGGCACACGTCCCTCGCCATTACCAAAGATGCCAATGCACCGTCGGTACGCAACAAATCGTCAAGGAACGAAGGATACGTCAGGCTGACAGCAAGACACCCGCCGACAAATCACAGCGCAGACATGAACACAAACAGCACCAAAAGCGGCGCCGCAGGGTAACTTGGATCAACTGACGAATGGCGTATGTGGAAGAAACAACATGTTGGCTTGACAAAGATACAAGAGGCTGACACTCTCTCAACAAAAAACCGTATAAGAATGCAAAAACAAAAAGTATTCAGGCGTCCACAGTCAACGCCAGCCACTACACAATAAAAGTTCCATGGGTGCACGCACCCACAACACAAGCAAAACAGTAAAAAAAAAAAAAAAAAGAAAGCCGAGGCGTGGGACGACCAGCGCACACACTCTCATTGCTCCCGTAAAGCAAAACACACACACAGGGAGAGAGAGAGAGAGGTCGCCCACTCAATGCAATAAAAACAAAAAAGAAACAGTTACGGTGCTCCGCCCATGCAGCCAGGCAGGACGGCAGCGGTGCGTGTCGTGCAAAAGAGAGCACCAACGGGCCTGCATGGGTGTGCATGCAATATATACAATGGGCACATTATGTGTGTGCTTCGTGGGATGAGGTGAGGGCGAGAGTCCATGCAAGGGGACACACACAGAGAGTGAGTGAAGGACGAGTGTGTGTGCGGGCGGTGCATGGCTCTCTCTCACTCACTCTCACGCGGCCACCACCGCAGAAGCGGCAGCCGCACACGCAACAACAAGAAGCAAAAGAGGGGAGGTGGTGTGCAAGACCGCGGTGCTGCTGTCACTGTTACCGTCATTTTTATTTGCCGTGTTATTTGCACCAAAGGCGGTCTTCTCTTTCGTGGTTTCTCCGTCATTGTCGGAGGGATGTTAATGTTGGTGGCCTTCTTCTTTAGCTGCCGTTTCGGAAAATTTAGCATCTTTGCGAACTTTCGCGTCTTCCTTGTCTGTCTCAATTGTGGCAGCAGCAGCACCACCTGCTCCTGCAGAAGCTTGTGGCAACGCTGGGTCAATGGTTTCATTTGATTTACTTTTCTTTGAAGCCGAGGGAATTTCCCCTTTCAATGGATCTGATAAACTGGCGGCGGATCCCTCCTGTTGCATGCCCTGTAGTTTTACAGGTGGCGGTGACTGTTGCGTTGACTTTGGCTCTGTCGTTGAAGCATTCGGCGCCTTTTCTTTTTGCGCTTTTAGTGGTTGCAGTTGTTCTTCCCCTTGGCGTCGTTTTTCCTGTACTTCTTGATGGCCTTGAAGTAAATGGTCATGCTGGGATAATCCTCTGTGCTGTACGTCGGTTTCGTGTTGTGTTTGTCCTGGTTCTGCTTCCTGTTGCTTTCTTTCCTGCTGCGCTGAGTCTCCTTGTAGCGCTGCTTCTTGTCCTGCAAGTTGATTTCTTTTTAGTACTGAAGCGTCTTCACGCGACGATTGTTTTTCGTGACCTTCTTTGTTTTGCTGTTTATTCTTCTCCTCAAGTCCTTTTTTTGTTTTTACTTCTTCAACATCTTGCCGTATTTGCCCCGTGACTCCTGTATCTTGCACTGGGTAGGTTTGATGACTCTGACCAGCACCGGTAGGTGGCGCAGGAGGCTGTATGCCTGTTTGGGGATTTGGGTCACCGGACTCGTGTGACGGCAATAACGGATCGGTAGAAATAGGATCCGTGTCGTTTGTCGTCGCCTTCGTACATTCCGCGATATTTCCTTCCGACCCCGGCTCCAAAGTGCAGGACTTGTGCTCCAAACCTTCTTTTCGATCCATAACTTCTGATGATCCACCTTTTAGGACTTCGGGCCTCTCAGAAAAAGAAAAATCCACATTCTCACCAGCATCATCGGCAGCAACTCCAGATAAACCGCACCACAGCTCGCAAAAAGCACTCACCAGCAGCACATGGCCAGTCATCATCGCCATCATCACTCCTGTCACTTGCGTGCAGCCTTCAGCACAAACTAACTCCCCGTCAACGCAGAGTGAAAGCAAAGAGAGAGAGACAATTCCCACAACCACGCACCGTACCATCCAGCGATGAGAGTCACGCATTACCACAACAACAATTGGGTGGGCGCGGTTCAACAACAATCAAGACAAAACAAAAGA